TTCACACATTAAAATCTTATGATTTTAGTGTGGGAGTGAAGCTGTATGTCTCTACCAGTTTGTACATTAGCAGAATAACATTTTTACAAAGTCAGACTACTGTAGTTGCAAATCAGTATATATGTCTTTTTCCCAATTTCCCATTTTAATTTAGGTGTAAACTCCGATTGGGGTATTCTACCACATGAAATGTGTTGACTTTAACCTTTCAGTGAAAGTATGGGCTATGTTTAGTTTCAGTGTCCAAGTTTCAAATATTTTCCAGGTCGGTTTAAGATGTCCAGAGAGTGCCCCTGTGGTGTGGAAAGACCAGAATTGTTGACAGTGTCTCCTGCATTGCTACTGGTAAACTCTAAACAGGAACACTTAGGGACTCCTTCTGACCATGCCTTTATTCTTTACATGAAACAAAGCTGAAGTTTTTATGGAGTCCCCCAGATACAACAGAACCAGCCTGTCAGATGAATCCTCTACTTGCCCGGTCTGTCACTTTAAAAGGAGTCCTATGTCTTGGCAGGTTAGCAGTTCCATATTTCTCCAATTATACGCAGATGGACTGGACAGCCCTCTGTGTAAGATCGTCATATGCTTTATAACCTAACCCTGCTTAAACTTTTACTTTTTGTAATTAATTCAATTTCACAATTATTAGCAACTTTGTGGCTCTGTTATATAAAACTTAGTTTTATATGAAACTCTGTGTAGTGGTATTCTGCTGTGTCACCGTTATCTATAATTTGTGTAGAAACACAGCTGCTAATTGGTTAATGCATGTTTTCACATGTATTTCTCTAAAAGCTGTAAAACTGAGTTAAAACCAGAAAGCAGAAGCTCAACTCAAGACGGATGGACTTCCAATCAAATGAATCTCTACTGGACGGCCTACTAAAGGAGCGCGGCCATTTTTTGGGAGCAAGGAGCCATCTCCCTGGTGAGTACCATGGCAACAGCCAACACAGGCCCCTGCTTCCCGAGATGTTCCTTTCAAGCTCCCAATCTAAAGTGGCAGGCCAGTTTTCTTTTGTGATGGACCTTCTATTGCGCTCTCTCTCTCCAGCCCATTCTTCTGTTTCTCCTTTTTTTTCTCTGCCTGCATGACATGGCCCTGGCCTTGTGCACCGGCCCATCAGGACTGTGAGAAGACTGCTGAGGGTGAGTGTCCGTGGGAAAATGTTGCCAGACAACACAGTGGTATGTGACAGTCAGGGCAGCCTAATCGTGTCTGTAAGGGACTTCATCGAAAAACACTACAACTCAGCTGAACCCATCTAAGTGGGAGGTTCTTATTAAATCTAAATTAGACTTATATGTTTTAATTCTTAAATGTATTTTCCAAAGTTTATATAGGACCTCCTTGACTTTTCCAGGTAATCTGTTGTGTCACTATTTTATTATTACCACAATAATTCGTTTTCATACTTTCATTCTGCATAATCACCCCTAACATTTGTTATAAGGAACCCTACTAGTCATATTTTAGCATTCTTGATGCTTATTTTCTGTAACTCATTTTACTTTTCTCTGCTATTTTTGTCCAATCCTTGTTCTTTAACAACAGCAACATAATTGGAGTTTGTGCTTCTAAAATAAAAAAACAGGACACAGAGAAAAAACAAACGTGTCATGTTTTGGATATGGTTAAAGAGTTTGTCCAATTTTTCTATTTTCTTTTTTTCTTTGTACTTGTAAAGATGACATAAAGAATAAAGACACTAGCAAAAATGTTGATACCCTTCATTTAATTATGACAAAACCCACAGTGGTCACAGAAATAACTTGAATCTTACAAAAGTAATAACAGGTAAAAAAAAAACAAAAAACAAAAAATATTTATTTAAAAAAAAATAAAGTCATGAATCAGGCCTGAAGAAAGCGACATGTTAACTCATGGCATGTCCACTAATTGGCATCACAGGTGTCCACAATTTTGCAATCAGTCATCGGGCCTATATATAGGGCTACAGGTAGTCACTGCCAATGCTGTGTCAGTTCATAATAAAAAAGAACAAGGTCAAAGTTCATTTCACACAGCTCAAAATTAACTACCTAATTTTCATAATTCACGTTTTCAAAAATGAACTAAGCTCACAAACCTATAAATGAACTAGTTCAAGTTCATTTGGTAAATTAAGCCACAATCCTACACAACAAAACCTCATATTTCACCCTTTGAATGTGTGATAATAATATATAAAAGGCAATGCAGTCAAGGTAAACTATGTGCAGTAAAGCCTTTATATAGCCAAATTACACAGAACTTCAGACACATACAGGTTAATCCGGTTCTGCTGAAAAGATCTATATAAAAATTATGTCTTACAATCTTTGTTTAGTGGCAGATATTTCCAAAGATAACTCGGATGCTTTAACTCCATGTGTCGCTTAAAATCTTAAGTGAACGTTGCTGACATACAGACCTGTTTGTCAAGTCCCAGTGGGCACAGTTTGCCCAAAACTTTAGTTTTTGTTCTGTCTGAGTCTTCCTTTGTTAAATTCATAAAACTCTGCTAAGCTTTCTGCAAAGCTGCCAGTAGAGTCTGAATCATTCAGACTAGTACTAACAGTAGACATGCTGGTCTGAATGCTGTTTGCAATAATAAGCGATGTTATCTAATGAAAAGTGTCGCTATCCACTGAACATGAATGTGAGCTATGTGTATCGTTCATTCTTCTTAAGGTGAACGTCGCTCTCGTTCATGTTCATTTCTTAAAAAACTGATTAGTTCAGTTAACTGTTCACTAAAAATATGAATGTATTGAGTGAACGTCATTTAATGAACACATTCATACACAACACAGGTCACTGTGCTGTTTGGTAACATGGTGTGTGCCACACTCAACAAGGACCAGAGAAAGTAAAGGAAAGAGTTGCCTCAGGAGATTAGACAGAAAGACAAGCATGTTAAAGGTAAAGGCTGTAAGACCATCTCCAAGCAGCTGGATGTTCCTGCGACTATAATTGCACATATTATTCAGAAATGTAAGATCTGTAGCCCTCTGTAGGCTTCTTGACGTGGCCAAAGGAGGAAAACTGATGACAAATCAGAGACTGATAATATGAGGACCATCAGTGTCAGTAGACACCGTCTGTTGTTGTTTGAGCCAATGTGAACTTTATGGGAGATGACCAAGTAGGACATCATTTTTTAAAACAAATTAGCCAAACTACATGTTGACAAGCAACAAAGCCTCTGGGAGAATGTCCTACGGAGAGATGATAATAAAATAGAATATTTTGCTAAGACACATCAGCTCTATGTTCACAGACAGAAAAATGAAGCATATCAAGAAGAGAACACTGTCTCTACTGTGAAATATGGATTAGACTGTTATGTTCTGGGGCTGCTTTGCTTCCTCTGGCACAGAGTGTCTTGAATCTCTGCAGGGTACGATGAAATCTTAAGACTATCAAGAGATTCTAGAGAGAAATGTGCTGCCCAGTGTCAGAAAACTTGGCCTCAGCCGCAGATCACGGGTCTTGAAATAAGATATTGACCCCAAACACACGCCTAAGAGGCTAAGAGAAAAACATTGGATTATTCTGGCTTTTTATGAGACTAGACCTAAATCTTATTGACTATCTTTGGAAGGAGCTCAAACATGTTGTATGGAAAAGGCACCGGAGACCGCTTAAGCAATTTCAGTATAAGGAGTGCCCTAAAATACCTGCTAAGAGGAGCAGAAGTCCATAAGACTGTTAAAGGAAGCATCTCATTGAAGCGATTGCCTCCAAAAGCCGTGGCACAAAATAATAAGTTGAAGTATATATCTTTTTAAGTGTTTTTTATTAACTTCTAAAATATTTGAGTTTTGAAATAGTGAAGGTGTTAAATGACCAGTAACCGATGATTGTTTAATCTATCTGTTTTAGGATGTCACAGATTCCTGAAACACAACAATACATCACTATGGTAACATTATATTATGGTTTCAGGACCAAATTATAAAGTGCTATTAAATTAGCAATTTGTAGCGAGCAGCTGAACCTACATTATACTGATATTTTGTTTTGGGATAAAGTATATGTTCCCTTTAGAATACAACAGCTTGATCTATGAGTACACTTTAACTTCTGCATTTTTTGTGTTGTCCTCAACAAAAGAACAGGCCCTGAAAGATTGTGGTGTACACTGGTGAAGATTCTCAGTCATCCAGGTCATAGCAATTCCAAAAAACGAAAATTGAAGAAAATCCACTGGACTTTGTTTCCACGTTTGAAGATGTTTTGCTTCTCATCCAAGAAGCTTTTTCAATTCAAATTTTCAGGAATAGCGTTGAGTTTGAGGTTTTATATAGTATACTGTGTACAATTGTGGTGTACAAAACATGAATCTTAGCCAAATAAACATTGGGATAAATCATGCAGTGTCCTCCAAAATATTTCGCATAAACACTTTGCTTCTCAGCCACCTCTGCTTACACTTTCTGTTCAGGGCTATTTACAGAACTATTGGCATCTCTACCTTTTATACCTGAAAAGTCTGAATAGCTTTTCACTGTCAATAAATGCATAATTTGAAAAATGTATTTAATCATTTTTAAAGAATAAATCTATAGGAAGTACTTTGTCAATCTATATGCACGTATTAAGGAAGAGTAGCCAGTTTAAGCTGGAACTTTATTGATCTCACATTGGAGAAATTCACTCTCTGCATTTAACCCATTCCCTATGGAAGCAGTGGGCTGCCATTGTTCAGCGCCCAGGAAGCAGTTTGGGGTTAAGGGTTTTGCTCAGGAACCCACAGCCAAGGCTGTGAGGATCGGACCGGGTACTTGCAACCTTCTCAGAGCACAAACGCACTGCTCTAACCCACAAGACCAGCACTCACCCCAATTTCACTCCAATAAGTGTAATATTATTGTTGATAAGCATTCAGATTTCTCATCTTAAACATCACCTTAAAACCAAACTAATACTAATATTCAAAATGAAACATTGATGTTTTGTCTAACTCTGCTTGAAGGTGCATTGCTATAAATCAGAGACAAAAACAATAAAATGGTTTTATGATTTATTACATTCATGAAACTGTGAGTCCTTTCAGGTGCATGTTAACCATTACACTTGCGGAAATTACTTTGCTTTAATGGTATAGGAAGGTATGTTACATCACAAACATGCTGAATAATTTACAAGTCTTTCTACCTCTGACACATGCAAAAACAGCTCTCTAACTAACATTAACAGAGAGCCACCTTGTGGATAAAAGATGAAGCGCACAGAGGGAAGAAATCAGACTTCAGGTTTTATGTTCTTATGGATATTTTGCAAAAACACACATGAAAACACTCACAAAAAAAAGCTAACGATGAAGGAAAAATATGCATCAGTTTCCCTGTTTTTTGTATATATATATTACCTGCATCAGTGTAAATTCATTATAAAGCTTACTGTGTTCTAACGTGAACCCATGAGCGTCTGCAGCCAACTGAGGTGGCGTGACACTTTTTGGAAAATGTAACCGTTAGTGCAGTTAGCCCCCTCTGGTTGGGTTACCACCCCTGTGAGGAACAACACATCTCTGTACATAGTGAGCAAGGGGCTCCCGGAGCTCATGCTGCAGTCGGCATTGGCCCTAGCACTGGTGCAGCCCATTTTATTGGTCATAAGGCTGGGGTACTTCTCCATACACTGAGGCAGCTTGCTGTACTCCAGCTGGTTAATAGTGAGCGGCTCCTGTATGGGTTCTCTCCAGCCGGTGACAACAGCCGGGTAATCTCCAGACATTAAGATACTCTCTGCAAAGTCTTTCTCTGGTAGACAGGCTGCGATAATGTATGGTTTAAAGACTATAGAATCACGCAGCTCGATCATAGCTAGGTCGTTTTCAGGACGGCCTTTCACGTAACGAGGGTGAAGGTGAACTAGCTTCACTAAAAGTGTTTGCCCTCCCACTTCAGTTGCAGGGTTGAGCTTTCCTGGGGAGACGCAGATAAGGAAAGATGACAGAATTAGACCTTTGTCAGTGCCTGGATTCAAGACACATACAATGTTTGCTGTCATTATTAAAGCAAACTGTAATTAGATTTGTATGTGACAAGTGGCTCAAAGATATGCGTGGTATGTATAACTTAACATGCATGTTTGCATCATTATTGAGCAATGAATCAATAATAAATACATGCATTCATTCAATTAGCAGCTCCTGCCTTGTCCAACTATTGGAGCTACATGTTTCTTTTATTATCAAAATAATTAAGGGCACTGGGAAACTCATCAGATTCATCAATATGACAAATATAGAATAATAATTAATTGATTAAATATAAACAGATTTAATACAACAATAATGTCCATTAAACTCACCAACTTCCACCTGGAAGGAGGGGTGTTTGGTTGCACACTGGGCTGAAGTCAAGACCAGGTTCTCCTTCAGAATGACTCCACTGCAGTAGCCTTCAGATGCTGGACTCTTCAGGAGAGCCTGGGGAAAGTATGAAGGTATTGTATGAAAATAAGATGGACATCTGAGGTAGTTTGTGCAAGATGCTTCTACAGAGTGGGCCTCCTTACCTGCCAAGGACACCCAGATGAAGTACACTGAAGTCCCTTAAAGTTCTCGCTAACAATATTTGCCTGCCTGTTTTTCCACACAGGGAGATTGATCAGCTGACCACAGGGCTGCTTGACTGATAAACAGAGATAGGTCTAATTAGAGGTATGTTCATTTATGAAAATCAGAGTCCTATTCCTTACAACAAAATACATTTAGCTACATAAAATCACCTTTCTTCTGCATGTGATCAGTAGGTAGCAAATTTATCTGTTCAAACAATTTTATAAAACCATAAAAAGCATGAAAATGATATAGGATTGAAGCAAAATAGGTGTGGGTCTCAGATGTGAGGATGTGTACTTATAAAATGTGTCATTCAACCCCAGAATGTAACCAGCTATGAAGATGCTGGCTTAAGCCTTCATCATCCAAGTTAGCAGGGATATAAACACCACTTTGAAGCAAACAAGGCAAAATCAAAAGGTCAAATGTGGTCTGCAGGGTCTGCAAAAGGTCCACCTCTGCTTTAATGCTGACTGTAACTGTTTCATAGAATACCAACAACCATCTAATGCTGCCTATTGTGTACCATGTGTTTCCTACTCTGAATTAGGTAAAAATAGGTTAAGTTAAACAAATTATTAAGTTAAAACATTAAAAAGCAAATTAAAAAAGTTAATAAGCTAAGTTAAATAGTAAAAAAAAAAAAAAATTCTGTATTATTTTATGTTGTATCAAAAACACGTGTGTTTTTTCTTTCTGAAAGGGGTTTTCAATCATTTCTTAAATATGCACTCTTTGGATTTGTTTTTAACCATATAAGGGCAGAACAGTTTTGGTAACTATACTGACCTTTATTTTTCCTTGATAATTCTTTTCTGTTTCTTCTTTTTATGATGTTACAAAAGTAATAAAATTACCAAAGGCAATATTGTAGGGCTCTTTTTATTAAAAATAAACATTTTAGGTGAATTTGTTTATTAATTCATGAAGTGTAAGCCTTACTCTAACTACGTTGTAAAAAAAAAATAATACACACAAGGACAAAAAAAATATTTGACTTTTGTTAAGCCAACCATAAACATACCAGCAGCCTCACACTGGTCTCTGCCTTTGAGCTTCCAGCCCCTGGCACAAGAGCACTGGTAGGACGTGTAGCCAGGTTTACAAAACTGTGAGCAGCCCTTGTCCTTTTCCAGTGTACAAAGAGTCTCATCTACCTCATGAAACAGAGACAGTGTCAGAGAATGCACATGAGTATTTAAGAAACAGCAATCTTTACATGCTGCCTGCAACAGTTTTGTACCATTTTCACAGTGGATCCCTGTGAAACCCGACTTGCAGATGCAGTCGTAGCCTCCAACGCTGTCTGAACACATGGCTCCATTCTTGCAAGGGTTTTCAGCACACTGGTCTCCATCTGAAAAGAGATCAAGTATGTTAGAGAGAGGTAATGTGTTCTTGGATTAGTCATATTTTTAAAACATAACTTACCAATGTAGACAGACCAAAAAATGTCCTGGAAGAAAAGTTCCATATAATCAGAAAGTAGCAGGTGCAGGGATGTTAGTTTTGAAATGAGGCATGAGGTTGTTATATAGGATCTAAGACATGAAAAGGGAACAAAAGCTCACCGTGCGGTATGAGTCCTGGAAATACTTCCTTGCTTCCTCATAGGTACAAACCCTCTCCATGCAAGCTTGCTCCAAGGTGGATGCTCCAGTATTTCTCTTTTGACGGGAGATCAGCGCAGTGGCTTGCTGCTTCTCCAGAAACACTGTGGGAACAATGACTTTATTCGACACGGCCAAAACATTCCTTTATAAAGCCAATATTGTGTTTCTTTGGAAGTTATCAACTCTTTAATAAGAAAATGTAAAATTATTTATTATCATGCACATTACAAATAGTGAGCAGAAGGGCTAAAAAATGCGTAATGCAGACGTAGTTTAAAGAAGTTCTAGAACACCTTATTTTGACTATTGGAAGCACATATCAATTTTGGGAGGTTGAAAGTGGCCCAGAAGGACTGCTAAATGCACCACTGAAACCCCTATGAATTTGCCCTACTATGAAAGGACTCCTTTCCCCCGCCCACTTGGAGGGTTCATGAATATTGAAATGAGCTGCACTCCGATTGGTCGGAGAATTGGGTGCATCAAACTGTTTACAGTGTCGGTAAGATCTCATCTTACATGTTTGAACCCAAGTCGGAAGAAGGTTGATATGTTGAGGAGCAAGAGCCAGTATGCCTGCTATTGGAAATGAATGTGGTACGTTTTGTCACATTTTCTACATAAATGAAGTAACAACTTAGCGTTCTTTACCTCATATAGGAACATATTAAAAGGTATTGTTATGCACATATTTTAATCATGATTAATATTGTTGAATTTTTAGGCTAACTATGTGTAAAGTTCGCTGTAATAATGATGTTCCTATCTGGATGCTAGCACAAGTCTGTGTATAGTCCTAGCATCCAAAGAGCATTTTTACAGAATTTGTTATGCGCACCTATTTCATAGTGCGATTACTGCCACATGCTTTTTATCCACTCTAATTACATGTTTATGGTGATGTTTTAACACTTGAGCTAGTTTCCAACACCTTAGCCACGAGTTCATAGTTTCTGTTTGCAAAGCATCACTTAGTACCAAACAGTAGGAATAGTGTTGGGACATCAACTCCAGAGCAGAAATTTCTTCTTTTTGCAAAGCAATGTGTGACATTACACCCCTCTACCCCTGACCGCAAAACGTGAGCGTATGCCTGCAATAGGTCTGTAATAGTGATGCACTGTAGACAGTATCTTTAGCTGGGACTTTTACTTACTTTTAGGAATATTACACTTGATCATCTATATTGTCACTCCAAAAAATTGCCCTTTAAAATATCATTTTGTTTTGGCATCTGGAAAACACTCACTCTAGATCCACAGTTTACGATAGACAGTAGAAGATCCATTAAAGCTTCACATAGCTTTTAATGATTTTCAATCTTGGCTAAAGTGGGTCTAAAATTGCACTTCCAGAAAAACAAAAACAAAATTCAAAGCTGTCACCGTTACACAAAATAAATACATTTTTACCCTGGACATAGATGCTTTTTTTAGGTATATACTTGACTAAAGAAAAAAAAAAAACTACTGGCCCAGCATCAACGAACTGTTTAGCAATAATGTTGGAGAACACACAGATTTAAGGAAGCTATCCAGAAAAGAAATCCTGTGTTTTCAATCAACAAGTGACACAAGTTGAGATTTGAATAGGGCTCTTTTATTTTTTCCTACTTGCTTTGATTCTGTTTTATTTTCCTCTATTTTTTTATCATGTAAAGCACTTTGCATTGTCTTTGTACTGAATTGTGCTACACAAATAAATTTGCCTTGCCTTGCCATTGATGGTGTGAAAGGTTGGAAGAGAGGGAGTTTGTCAGCAGATAACAGGAAGGCTGGAAAGAGTGAAGCAACATTTCTCTGTTTTATTCCTTTCAATCTTTTGTTATGAAACAAATTGATTTGGAAATGTTGGCAGGCTGTTGGAATCTTCCCAAAGATCTACTGTCTAGAATAGAGTAACAGAAAGTGATTTTTGTAAAGTAGCCTCTCATATCAAGCTACTTGCTAAAGAGGAATTAGGGCTGAAACAATTAATCAAATTAATCATGATTAATTGATTATTGAAATAATTATCAACGAATTTAGTAAGAAAGTAATTGTTAACTGGAGTATAGAGACTCGAAAACATGCATTTAGTTGATAGAGTAATGCACCTAGAGCAGTAATTTAATCAAAATATTAAAAAAAAAAAGAAATTAAAAAAAAAAAAAAAAAAAAAAATTAACTGTCAATTGGCCCTACCCAAAACTTCTCAGGTGGAAAGGTTTTGGTTTCACCTGGTTTAATTCTGTAAAAATCTCTTATATGAGGAACCTTTAACTATTCGATTATTAATCTATCTATAGTAAAAATAATCAACAATGTAATTGATTACAAAATATTCATTTGTTGCAGCCCTAGTTTGAATAACAACTCTAAAGTAATTTTATTTTCATCATAAAATAGTTTTAGTGGTATAATATCTATGATCCTAATATTAATAATTAATAAACCATTAGTCATTACATTTTATAGAAATAGTGCAAAGTCTTATGTTATATATGTTAAAGAGAAACCTTATCAAAACCTAACAAAAGCTGGGGATGAACTGCGCTGCAAATGTATATTCTTTACATCTTTTACATAATGAATCATGCTCTATTTGCATACCAGTGTAACAGTTATAAACGTTTACAACTTAATAGCTAAGCACTGTCAGACATTTTTATTGAAATGGAAATCTTTGAAGCTTGCTTGAAAGTTCTGAAGAAATTTCTTTTGCACAGCTTATACTGTATGTCAGGTGTTTCAATTAGATAGACTTGTTAAAACTTAAAAAAGAGTTTGTTTGAACAAACACACAAATTAATCAATGGAATGACACCTGTTCAAGAACCTAACTAGTTTCATAGATTAAAAATTTAGGTGTTTGCTGCTGTTTTTTTTTTTTTTTCTAATGCTGTAGTAACTCCCTTCTCCTATTCCACAGATGCTGCCATTCTGACCTTCCTTTCTCCCTCTTGTATTCTCCCACCTCTAGGCCTTGCAGCATCATCTGCTGGTGCCGTGCCTCACCTTTATGGGGGCTCTGAATGGCCATCACTGTCCCGGCAAGACAGAACACAGCAGCATAGGTGGTGTGGAAATGCATGGTCATCGTCTGAAGAGTCAATACAGAGAGAATCAAGGTAGGATCCTGGGAACATAAGCAGATTGCAGCCATGATGGTTATTAGGAGGACATAGACCCCTCCCTCAGAAAACAACAGCAACAACAAAAATAAACCATACATCCATCAATAGAAAGCTTTTGTCAACATAACTAGTAAATAGTTTCATGAGTGCAATCAACAAGTTGCACATTTATAGAAATAAATGACCAAAAAGTAGCAAAGTAACCTATATGTCTCATTCATTTATTAATAACATCTTCATCAAAAGAAATATGATTGGGCCTTTTCATTCTAAGGCTGGCTGATCCTTTCCTCTTATGAAATAGGAATTTTTATTCACTTTTGGGTTGTATAAAGAAGAAAAAAACCGCATGGCGATTTAACGCACAATATTTATTTTTAATAAAATAAATTTTTCCATATTATTGGAAACTCTTTAAAGCAAGAAATGTGACTAGTTTTTCTGTAGATGTTAGTGTAAGATCAGGCGTGATTCAGCATCACACCGAAGTGCTGCCATGTTTCCTATATTGCATGTTTTTAAACAAAATAATTGTAACCTCACTACGAGGTTTAAAATACAGCTATTTATGTTTTGGTTGGTATCCTTTTCATAAACAGCTTTCTGCAGCTGCAACACAAAATCCTTACACATACTTTTTTTTTTTTCTTTTTTTTCTTTTTTAAATAACATCCTTAATTCCTAGGAACAAACTCGATGGAAGAAATATATGCATCGCCTATTATAGACAGGGCGTGCTACGTCCTGCAGGCCGAACCCTGTCTGAACAACAGTGTTGACAGTAAAAAGCGCACAAGATGCTCGGTACTTACTGGCACGGGCAGAATCAAGATTCAGGCCCAGCTTGTTCCTTTTCTTCCGTGTTCTGATAGAAAGCAGGATCTCGCTGAACGGGATCGGGCCTGAAAGTCCAAAATAACGGGCTGTGATCACATCCGAGACGTCCTCCTTCTTCTGTTTACTGTTTGTGATGCGAGTAATGACAAAGACTGGCCACTAGAGGGCACCATTACACAGTGCTGGATGTGAATAGTGAAGTGGTGATACAGTAAACAGTAATTACACTTTGTAAAGATATATTTTGGCACCATTAACTGTTAAAGATAATCTTATACATTTCAAAATTTGAATATAGAATTTTATTTTTATTTTTTTGTTATTTTTATTTTTGATTGTTTAGCTTAACATAATTTTTCACAGAACAAAGTCCATAATTTGTTTGAATTTACTGACAATATTTAGCTCCTCAACCCTTGGAAAGATATTGGAATGAACATCAAGCAAACGGTGTATTTGTTATCAGGGTCGGAGCTAGATGGGGGCCAGGGGTGGTCATGGCCACCCTTAGCCAATCATTAGCCACCCCTGTGGCCACCCCTACTATTTTTCCTCCCCTGTAATACAGTGACAGTATTACTGCCGCTACAGTGGCAGCAGTAATACTATCAAGTGGAATATTTAAAAACATTTTTCATATATGAACAATTACTTGACAACTAAAACACTGTAGTTAATTCTGCACATTAAAATACTAACATATTTTCAAAACTTTCCATAACTAGATTTTGTGGGGTAAAAAGAAAATGATGTGTCTCTGCAAGTCACCTAGGAGTCTTCAGTAAAATCATAGATAAATAACGATTTTAATAAAAACTTATTAAATAATCAATTTATGTAGACATTAGTATTTGTAAATATCAATAATATCCAGAATGATTGTTGATAAAAAAAAGTAAGTAAGTAAAGACAATGGAAAAGATGTTCCCCCAGAACTCAAACCTGAAAGGATTTTTATCCACTATCAACACCTTTCTAGAAGCGCAGATGTTTAAATATACGTGTCTATTTGTTACCAAAGGCTGTAGGAAAGTGTAGTTAGGCTTTATTTAGAAAATATGGATGTTTGCTCGTTAATTTTCCTGTTGGAAGTGTGTAGATTAACCCTGAGATTCTGGTGTCACCCCTCAGTGTACATTGGTTATTGCCTGGCCACTCTAATAAACATTTTCTGGCTATGACTCTGTTTGTTATTCGGTGATAGACAACACTTAAAAAGAAACTTTTGCTGGATTTAGAGCTGACATTAGAATAAAATATGCTTGTTTTATATTCTTTGTAGAAACTAATATATATATGGCCACAGCAAGTGGGGGGTGCTGAAGGTGCTGCAGCACCCCTAGTGGCGACAGGGAGATACACATTTTCTTTATTAAAAATACTTTGCACAATTTATAAATTTGAGCAAATTATTTTGCTTTTTTATTTTACTATTCCATGTATTTGGATTTTGATTAATCTATTTTGAGGCTTAACACCAGTTCACAAAGGTTACATTGTCATGGCAACATCAAGTAAGCTAGTAGTCGCATAGAAAACAGGTATCCCGCTCGCGTCAGCAGGCTAGTTAATTTACATAGTCTAATGACAGAAACCAAAAATATGGCACAAAAACGCATTTCCAATTTTTTTGGAAAACCTCCATCAGTGAAGAAGAACACTAGTACTGCATCAAAGCAAGAGCATGGTCCCGCCGAGCACTTTATATCTATTCGTTTGGTTTAACGTAACCATAGTATTTTAGAGAGCGTTATTTTGAACTTTGATCTATTTTGATCCTGTATTCTTTGTGTAATGAATGTGGAGAACTGTTCAATAACATTTAAATGGTATAATACAATTATTTCCTTGTGGAGCTAATAGAGTCACATGTGACATAAGCACAGTGACTCAGGTTCATGGCAGCTGATCAAATATACGTGGTTATAGTGTTATGTGAAGTTATATATGTATAACCTATACACATATATAGGTTTGGAGATTTGTACTAACATCCTCTAATCTTTAATATAGAGTATAAGCAAAACTGGTCATGGAAAGTTTATAAATTAGCGGTAATTTCTGGTTTATAGCAAAATAGCTCAAGATAACCAAATTGTAGGAGGTCTGGCACCTGTGGCAGGTCGTAGTAGTCAGGGATGGACAGCATTTCTAATACAAGTATTTCAAATATGTATTTCAAATACAAAATACTACTTTGTAATTTGTGTTTTATTGAGATGACGAGAATACCTTTGTATTTTGTATCAAAATACTTCAGTGTTATGTATTTTTGTTTTTAAAAAAATACTGTAAAATACTTTCTGTGAGACACAATCTGGGATGACGTCTAACTATCTATAAAGCATGGAATTGAGTATATGGCACCTTCGCTGTCAAGTGCCTGTGATCCCACTCTCGGCCACTATGGAAGTTGGGCACTGTTTCACACTTGCTATGGGCACATTTCAGGATCGACACAAAACACATGGTAATGCATATTAGATTGAGTCAGGTATCTTCTACTTGGTGCTTTGTCCGAACCAGTCAAGAAAGTTGTTTCAAAGCAAGGCGAGCAACCAAATTTAGACTTAGACTTAGATTTATGTTGTCTTTTTCTATGCACGAGTGTACACAAAAAGAAATTTTGTTTAAAACAGCTCTAGACAATTTCATTTTTTAAAGTGCAGCCTTGAAAACAGTAATACATACTGTAATAAATGTACCTAGTTTACCTCAGTAACACATTTTTTGTCAACCATCAACCACTCTTTTATCTCATGTTCTTGTTCAGTGTAACGTTCAGTTCAGTGTAACTTTTGAAGGTTAGCTGCTTAACTAACTCTTTGTGTTAGTTTCACAGTCGTTGATTTCACCAGTGAACATTCAAAGAATCATGTTTTTAAAGTTATTGTTATGTTACACAGTTTCTTTTTCTTTCATGTAATTACCCTATAGCCTACATAGGACTTTTGTATCTCATTGTCAATATGTGTGCTGCTGCTGCACCACAGGTGACACTTGTAGTAGGCTAGTTTTGGCTAATACTAGTGTTGGCTCATACTTTTACTTCTTCTTAGAAATGCACCTAAATAATGTTCTATCGTTGACTGTATGTAGCCTAAACAATATCAGTGTTGGGTGTAAGGCAGTAAAGAAGTTATTTAATTGGGCTACAGTATTGCATTGCTTTTTGCAGTAATGCAGTAATGTAAGGCATTACAGATTCTTAGTAACTGAAGTTACTTTGCTTGTTTTGTTACTTTGTAACTTTGATGTTTTTTTTCCAGATAGTGTACAAGTGATGGGATAGAACAAAAAGGCTCTTAGAATGAAGTATTTT